ATCGAGTCCGCAACCCATCCCGTGGCATGTGGCCTGCCTGGAATTGGACCGACGCCCTCAGCACTGAGCCAAACCCGCTAGGGCGTCTGTACACTATTTCGATTAATCTTCGTAAAACCCTATTACATGGGTACGGGTTTTACCCACATCTCATAGAGCTCAGAGAGAGAAGAGGTAACGTGCTTAGAACCCACACAGCTAGTAAATGGTTTGGCTGATTAACTCGTGGACTGTGGGGTCCTTAACTAGAAGCACAGGCCTGAGTAGCAGAGATAATGCCTTGGAACGGACGGATGTGACAGCGCACCCACCTCTATCCCAGGATGAGGGGAGTGGGCTCGGGATCAAGCAGGTCCGACTGTGACTGCTGGTCTTTCCCAGCCGTTGTGTAGGGACCATAAATTGTGCCTGGTTGTTGCCTTCTGTTTAGTCCATGGCTTCCTCTAAAGCCGTGGTTCTCAACCTTCCTCATGCCACGGCCCTTTAATGCAGCTCCTCATGTTGTGGTGACCCCCCAATTTCATTGTTACAAATTGAACATAATTAAAGCATAGTGATTAATCACAAAACAATACGTAATTATAGATGTGTTTTCCGATGGTGTTAGGCGACCCCTGTGAAAGGGTCGTTGGACCCCCAAAGGGGTCGCGACCCACAGGCTGAGAACCACTGCTCTAAAGGGACGGCCTATTTGTTTATCTACAGAGCACACGTGCAGGCATGTTATATCCCCGGGCAAGAGTCTCCGACCTGATTCAAGCCCGGAAATGAATCCTTAGGAGGAGGAAGGCAGGAGATTCTCTGGGCTGAGCTGCGAGGATGGGGGACCGTCTGGTTCCTGGGAGGTTGTGACTTTCTGTCGCTACTTCCTCGGGTGGCGGCCCTGACACCAGAGACTTGGAGAGCTGGCTCAGGGGGGACGCTAGCCCTGGGTCCTGCCGTGGGATAAGCAGGGGCTTCATTCGGATTTTATTTACAGTCCTACCCCCCCCCCCCAAAGGGTTTGTAATGCTTACACCTGACAGCTTGTAAAATCCTTTAAAAATACGTTATTTAATTATTCAGCAGACGCATAGGTTGTGGCCAAGCTCAAGTCCCTGCCCTGACAGTGTTTACAGTCTGGGAGAGACAACTGTAATTCCAGGCGGAGATCAGAGGAGACAGGATGGACGGCGGTGACGGGTTGTGCTGGGGTTGAGGTTAGCAGGGAGGGGAGAGGTTAGATTTGGTCGAAGAGAAAGCCTCTGAGCTGGTGACCTTTGCAGGGACCTGAGTGAACCGGGAAGTGATCCCTGTGCTGTGCAGGCCTTGAGGTGGGCGTGGCCCTCGAGGGAAGCCCCTGTCCTGGTGGCCGCGAGTTACACCAGGTGTCAGAGATGGAGTTAGGGCGACACCCCCGGGCAGGCCCCTGCAAGGGCTTTGGGTTCGTTCTGAGTGTGATCACCGTCGAGGACTTGGTGCGGGAGGTGGCCCTGCTCTGCTTCCCGGGCCTCGGTGCTTTTCTGGCTGCTGCTGGTGGGTCGGTGCTAATGGGGAGGCGGGAGCAGGCCTCGGTGGGCGCCCTGGGTCGTCCAGGCAGGGCACACACCGGCTGGGCCCTGAGGAGCTGTCTGGTGTGAGGAAAGGATTAGGTGACTCAGGGGCTCTGCCCGCCTGCAGTTCCTACTTGGGTCTGAGATGGGAAAACTAGACAAAACCCAAGTTTGCTAAAACTTGAGTTTAGTTTTCCCATTTTAAACTTGAGATGCAGTTCGGATGAACAGGCAGAGATCGCACCGTTGAATGTTAGAGCGGGGAGCTCGGGAGAAGTCAGGGCTGGAGAATTTAGATGGTAAACTGTCGGCATCGAGTCGGGCAGCTGAGAGCTGGGACCCCCCCTCCCCCCAGAAGGATCCCTGTGGGTCAGAGGGAGCCCAGCTGAACCCAGGGGGCGGGTGGGAGGGTCCAGGAAGGGAGACTGAAGGGGAAGCCCCCTGGGAGCTGCTGCGGAAAGTGGCCTCGAGGGGGTTCACCGCAAGCTGCTGAGGGTCAGACCAGCAGTTCTCAACCTCCTGGCCCTTTAAATACAGCTCCTCCTGTTGTGACCCAACCATAAAATTATTCTCGTTGCTACTTCATCACTGTCATGTTGCTACTGTGATGAATCGTCATGTAAATATCTGATATGCTGGATGGTCTTAGGCGACCCCTGTGAAAGGGTCGTTCGACCGCCAAAGGGGTCGCGACCCACAGGTTGAGAACCGCTGGGTCAGACGGTGCAGCTGATGTGTGTTCAGTGTCACCTGCAGGGGACCAGGTGAGGACGCGGCTGCAGCACCAGGACACCTGTGGTTTCTGATGACTGGTTCTGACCTGGAGCTGCATTTTGTGTGATGCTGGCATCGTGTAAATTAATGCTTCCTCACGTGTCTGCGTTACAGTCCGCACCTGGCGGACCGAGGAAGCCGGTTCTAAGTGCCGAGTTCTCTCGGGTTGACTTTGGAGGGTGACGGGGGCTCTGGCTGCTCTGTCGCTGCATCTGCTGCCCTCGGGGCCAGGGCCTTGCTGAGACAGACGCAGACGGGCTTCCGTCTCCTGCCCTGTTTGCTGAGCTCCGCGGGGCAGAGGCCGCAGGTGGAGAGGGGCAGCGTTTCCTCTCGGAGGCCTGCCCGCCCGCACGCCCCAGCCCAGCCTGTGGCTTCCACGGATAAAGGCCCGAGTGGAGGCTCCTCTGGTGCGTGGAAGCGTTAGCCCCTTCACCCTCCCATCTGTCATGTCATCTGGTCACGTGGGCCCACGGCCTGCCTGCCAGCCAAGAGGGGCTGGAGAGACATGTCCTAACTCTCCTGTTTCCAAGGAAACCGTCTTCAGTGAGACTGGTTA